ACAGGTGAATACTTACCACACTTTTGCTGGGTTAACTGACCAATAATTTCCTGATGCATCACATGTACATTTTTTGAAATATTGGAATAACTTTTCCTATTCTCAGGTATGCCCTCTTTATATTGAGCTCTTCACCCTCTCTATTACACCCTCCTGTCTATGATACTAAAGACTGGGATGTTTACAAATTGTATTTGCCTCATCAATTGTAAATTACAGTTTGCAGGTAATGTAGTCTGAAAATAACAGAAGAAAGCTCTTTTACTCATTGGCTTTTTTCTGAACTTTGTCAATTTAAGGTTCTTGACGATGTGAATTTCACAAAATAGAAATTGTAAACACAACAAACCGGATTGGCGAACATTGCAAACTAGATCTCAATATTTTCTGAGGTTCAATTCTTCTGAAGACATTTGAGAGCAATAATCCAGTTTCCAGCTCCGTAAAGAATCTTAGACCAGATGATAAAGCAACTGTGGATATTAGTGATGCCTAATTTGACTTCTCATAGCGTAATCTAAGAAATAGTTTTATACTAATGTACTAAAATCACCAATTAAGTCTTTTACAAGAGGAAATAAATCCAATTTAAATTTTACTACATATTCTGATTTCTTTCTTCACCATTAATTTTTTTTGGTGTTTCCTCAATTAAATCTTCAAATTGGAAACTCACATTTAGTGTTCCATAGGTAAAATAATTTGAAAAACATCTTGTGGACATATGTGCCTCTAGTGTACNTTTTTTTACTTCACCAGTGAGCCCTGTGTAGTTACTTACCCTTTTCACACTTCCAGACTGAATAGCCAGGTCACCTTCACATTTCAACTGTGTGATTCTACCGGCCAAGTCATTTAATTTAGCCTCCTTCTTTTTGTTTTTCTTCATAACAGTGAACCCTTTCCTGACCTGCCAGGTTCAATTATTTGTAGAGATTGAATTCAAAACCTGTGCAACCATCTTCCAGAACTATCATCTCTAGTACATGGTTGGGGAAATTGATGGTAGTTCTAGAAACTGTCAACTCAATCATGATCTCTTCCAAAGTTAGAATCACTTTCTACTCAGCAAATTGGGCTTCGTATAATTTTGTCCTTAACTTAATATTTCTAAATCGGATCTCTCAGCGATATTGCCTTTCATCTGATGACTTGTACAGGCCAATTGCCTTTATTCCCAAATATAAAGGAGTCCCTCCCACTTGCTCCATCCCCTCATTCAAGGTATGTTTCAAAACATATCTTTTTGACCTCATTTACCCTTCCCCACTACTATGCAAAAAGTGATTTATAAATGTAAATTGCATTGTTTTCCTATCTGATTATATGTTGAACTACGATTACTGTATCTTTTATTGTTGGATCTTGAATTACCACAGGTGGAAAATTTAGATGAAATAAAAATTGTTAAAACTCCTACTTGATTGGTAATTGTGATTAATGCATGGAATGTTGTATACCTAATTGCTTAAGTTTCTGTGAGTTTTATTGACGTCCACAAATACAGTATAGATTTTTAAACCAGTTTGATTGAATCTGCAGTTTGTCCATCCTACATTAATGCAGGCTGACATTAGGAATTCATTTAATAATAACAATACATTATTGAGTCATTTAACATGATTGCCATTTTCTGAATTACTTATAAAATTTGTACTTCACTTGTCCTTTAATTACTTATGTTTTTAACACCTTGTCTACTAATTAAGTAGTTAAATATTTATTTTGATACTATATGACAGTAATTATTTTGGCATAAGGTGAATCCAGGTGCTGAAGCTTTAGATTGGATAATAAAGAACACTTATTCTTCTATTCACTATTCACCTTGTACGTACAAATGAGAATTATTGTTATCCATCAGGCAAAATTGCCTCACTCCTTTAAGAAAATTTGTGTCTTGCATGGTAAAATGATCTTCACCTACTTTGCAGTGTAAAACATTACTTTGAGAAAGACCTTGGTTTTCTTTCTCTTATTACCAGACCCAAAAGTCTGTTTCCCACACAAAAGAAATTCAATCAATAACTATGTGAGCCTTTTGGTTTATGGCGGGAATGTACAAGCACGTTTTTTGGTTTCTCAAGTAGTGGCTCAAGCACAGACTCTGGCATTAATGTTATAACACAAGTCTGTTGGAAAGCAAGTGCACAATGTTGCCTCCCTCTCTTCAAATCCTTGTGATGTTCTGCTAGGGCATGAGAGTAGCGATTTGCAATTGATGTTGCGCCAGTTCCATTTACACTGTTGCCGTGTATATTATTAATTTGAGTCTAAAACCACCTTCTAGTTTCATAGATTGCCTAAGAACCTGCATCAATTTAGATTTCATGTCAGGAAATTGATAAACACTAAAAGTGCAGCATGAAAGGAAGGTTAGTGAATTATATATGTTGGGGGTAGCTTCACTTCAATCTGTTTTGGGTTATGAATAGGGCAGTTCCTCACTTCCATCGATATGAATGCTGTTTATGAGTTTCACTTGTTAAGAAATCCTAGCTCTGAAGCTTTATTCATCATCTTACATTTCTTCCATAGAATGTTGATATCACTTATTTGGTTTGCAACAGAGAAGAACTTGCATTTTTATTGTGCATCATATCAAAACGTCTCAATGTATTTTACTGTATCCGACTGTATTTACTCAAATGAAGTGGCTGTTTTTGTAGGCACACATAGCAGCCAATTTGTGCACAGCAACGTCCAACAAACTGCCATGAAGTGAATGTCCAATTTATCTGGAGGACCATTCAGAATACCAAAATAAATTCCCTTCTCTTTCTGAATAGTGTCATGGTATCTCTATTGTCCACTTGAAGAACGGGCAGATGTTGGAGTCAGAGCACAAGCTCTAATTTCCTTTATCTGGAAATTAATTAACCTTTGGAAATTTACAGCACAGAGAAAGGTCATATCTATGCTTGCTCTTTGAAAGAACAATCCATTCAGTCCCATTTACCTGCCTTTTGTCCTATGCAGGAAATTAATTTGGAATATCTAAATCTACTTCCCCTTTGAAAGCTAATATGGATCTTGCCTCAACCATCACCCCTGACAGGACATTCCACATCCTAACAACTCGCAGCGTAACACTAAAATCCTCCTTTACTCCCTTTGCTAACTACCTTAAATTGATGCCCTCTTGTCACCGTTTCACCAACCAGTGGAAATAATTTCTCACTATCTACTCTTATCAAATCTCCTTATAATTTTAAGACCTCCCTTAGGTCTACCTTCACCCTCTAGTTTCTATTCATTGGTTCAAACCACACATCCCTGTTATTATCCTAGTTAATCTTCTCTGCGTTTACCTTAACATCGATACCCCTAACATTGTTCCTAAAGTGTGGTGATCAAAACTGGACACAATACTCTTAAGTGATGTCTAACAGGCTAAGCAACACCTTGTGGCTCCTTTGGAAATTGAACTGTTTAAAAAAAATCTGTCTCTGAATATGAATATGGATTATTTCCTGGTAATCAGAAACTCTTAAGATCACAATAGCAGGTAGTTGGCTCTTCTTGGCCAAGATATAGATATAAGAGACTTCCTATATCTATGTGGAAGTTGAATAAATGGTTATATATTGACCATAGATAACATTGTTTTCATTCTTTGCAAGAAGTTCAGTCTTCACATAGAAAACATCTCCTTTCCTCTTTCTGATCTGGTGTGGCTTAAATGTGTAGAATTGTATTTTAAATCTATTTATCAATTTTATAGATTTTAATTAATTGTTTCATTGTTGCCCACTTGAGGTAAAACCTCAAAATCCATCAGTAAAATGAAGTTTTGCACAACCATATAAATCAGCTGACTGTTTGGTGAAAATTTCCTTAAAGTGACACTGTCTCAGTGATTAACCCATCACCTTACTCTCTCCCCCCACCACCCAGCATGGGGGTGTTATGATTTGGTAAGTTTGTGTAGAAGTTGAATGTTTTTCAAAGCGAGATGAAGCCTTCATCTATGGTAAGTAACCTACCATTAATGTATACCTTGGTATTTACAGTTGCCATGAGATATCTTGATGTGTTATGTTTGGTAGATTTGTGCTGCTGGATGTTCACGGGGACCGGTTGTCATGTTGACAGTTAATGGAATGTGCTAAATCAGCATCGTGATCAGCTGCTGATGTTGGATATTCACGGAGACCGTTGTATTGCTAACAGTTATCGGAAAATACTAAATCAGCATTCTAATCAACTATCACAGTATTATGAAACCCTGGTATACTCAATCACAGCACACCAGCTCTCTTATTTATTTATGTCCAGTATAATAATAGCAGCCTGATTTTTCTGTTATACTGTTCAAAGTACATATTTCGTTTACATTACTGACGTTTTGAACAGTATGACATACCTTTGCTTTCCTCCTTTTAAGTTGCCCCATTCCATCTTGCTGCGATTTGCATCGACTGGTGGGAGAATAATTATTCCAGCTCATGGCACTCTGAGACGGCTCCTCAGAGGTGCCTAGGAGATATACTAACTCTATTCCCTCCCCTTTCTCTCCATCCCCCCTTACAGGAAGCAAGTGCTCATGCTTGACTTTATACCTGCTATAATACTGCAAGTCAAATTGAGTACTCAGCAAAGTGGCAGGATTCAATCTGTGTTCCAGTACTTTGTGGTTCCACATGTTGATGTTCCACCACTTGTGCTTATATTATTTTATTATTTTTAAAGGTGCAACTTAATTGGATTAACATTGGTTTAGGATCATTTTTGTCGGTCTTTGATCCATATCTGTTTCAAAAAATATAGTTTTTAAAAATGTTGTCAAGAAACTGTTATAACTACTTTTACACCTAATCATTTTGTTCTGACAATTTCCAACTTTTCAGTTTAAATTCACAAGGAATCTATTCCTTATTCTTGGTTTGATCTGTGATTGCCTCCAAAAAAGTGCAACTTGTATATATAAATCAGTTACGTTTAAAAGCTTACTTTATGTTTTATAAAATTAACATAGAACTTGTGTTTGCTTTTTACAGGAATTGACTGTTTACAAATTCTGAGGTTACCATTGGTTATTCAAGTAAGGGCAGTCAAGAGTTGCGTTTCAGGTGAGTGGTTTAGTTACAATTTAGAATAATTTCTAAACCATTGCATTTTTTTATACTAGTATCTGTTTTTTTTTCCACTTGAACACCATTCTATTCTCCTCTGGGCTTGGATCTCTTGAAACCCACAGTAAAGGCAGATAACCTATTTTCTGCAGCTAATTCTGCAGATGATATGAGTGGTGACATGCAAGTATTTAAGAAGCATGTATGTTCCCTTCCTTCCCAGACCTCCTAGTTCCTGACCTCTCTTGGTAGTTCCCCATGGCAACTCAGTGAAGATCAATAATTCAGAAGAGTAGTGGATTGAACTTTTGTGCCACTACACTTTGTATGCTTATAGATTGTTACTTCAACAGGCTGGCACACTTAAACTATTCAATCTGGTGATATCAGTATCAGGTTTGAAGTAGGAAACTTGATTTACACTTGCTTATTTTGAATTGCTCTCTCTGAGGACTTAGGAGAGCTTCACCCATGTAAAACCATGTTCCTAAGCAATACAATACTTTGTAAACTGGTGTTAAATGGTGATTCATATTTTAAATATTGTGAAAGTGCCAGGAGGGCAGCTGGCTCTTTTAAAAAAATTGACACCTTAATAGATTGGCCATGAAGTTTTAAAGTAAATTTTTTTAAAAGCATAATTTTATAACCGTTTTATACTGACCGACTCCAGGTCCACGGATATTCTGTCAGCTTGCTTGTCAGACATCCAGGCCTGGATGAGCACAAACCTCCTGCAGTTGAATGTCGACAATTCGGAAAATATACATCTTGGCTCCCATCAACGTCTTCTCTCCTGTGGCTCTGACTTCCTGAATCTCCGTGGAGATATAAGTGGATATGCTGAAATCAATGCCACTATATCCATTCTAAACTTACCTAGCTGAACTACACTATCATCATCAATTTGCGCTGACAATTTGTGATGAATGAACAGTAAATGTGCAGTGCAGATGAGGCATTGATGTTGCAGCATGCCCAATTCCTGAGTTGTATTGTCGGAACGTTTTCTTGTATATATTAAGTATAGCTACAATTATCAGTCACCTTGAATTTGGTGTTTTTTATGCTTAAGTAAAACTCCTGACAATCCCACTCAGATTGAATGACTAACGTCCCAACGACCCATTGCATTTATCATCCAAACAGGTATTTTAAACTCAGGAGACCCAACATAGCAGATCTTGGTGTAGCTGCTTCTCCACTTGCACAAATAGGCATAGTTCTCATAGATAAAAGAGCTTTTCATTTTTATCCCCAAGGGAGAATGCTTCACGTTGAATAATAGTAATATTTCCTTTTAAGGGTTAACCGAAAATGTTGGTGGTGCAAATAATTTTTATTTGACACATCACTTCAATCACTTTCTTTTCATTTGATTACCCATGTACTTTTTTGACCCTTAATCAGGTTAAGTAAAAAAAAGCATTCTGGCAGAAGTGCTTGCATCAGCAGACCAGACTCCTTGTGAAGGGTTTGATATGCAAGTATGCATTCTAAGAGCTCATTTTCAATTGAATTACTTTGAGTCTTAAGAGTAGAAACTATCGTATTAGTAAGTATGCATATTATATTACTGATATGATAGTACATTGGACAATATTTAAATACAGAAACAGCTGAAATGTACTTAAAATAATTTTTTAAATGAAATGATGCTATTATCAAGCAAACATAGAAATTCTCCAGGGTCGATTTCCTTTTTGCAGTTTGGGAAAATTTAAATTGGCAAATACCACAGAGCAGTCAACTAAAACCAAGCATTCCTGTGATGGTGACATGAAAGATGAAAAGACTTCACAAAATAAATATTTAAAAGTCATACTGATGGGTTGAATGTGAGTCGACAGTGAAATGAGAATTCTAGAATATTGTGTGAATTGCTCAGAAAAAGAAAATGTTTCATTTAAACCAGCAAATGATTTCAATTTAACAGCAATATGTGGATGTTGTTTGGGAAATGTTCTAAAGTATGCTGTCTGAGAAAGTTTGTTACTTCATCTATTTGTTCCTGTCTCTCCTGAGATAAAGGGGAAAATATTTTTGGTGTAAGTGAAAGCAGCAGATTAGCCAGTGGGAGACAATTTAAATATGAGATCAAGAGGGTTCAGATTAAGTACATTTCGATTGAGAGTAAAGAAGAAGCTTCAAAGCTTCCATGGTTAAACAGGAACAAAAATTAGGTTTAGAAAAATAATATACTGTACTATGAATATAGAGCTGATAAAACAGGAAAATAGTATGAAATATAAAAAGTTTAGATGGGAAGCAAAAAAGGGGTTAGAAAAGCTAAAAGGTAGTCTTAAAAAAACTTCTGCTTGTCAATATGCAAGGATCAAATTCAAGGATTATAATATCAAATGTTTTTATAAGCCTAGCTCAGTGATATAACTCTAGCTTCCGAGTCAGAGGGTTGGCAGAGCCTTGCAAAATTGTGGAGGTGAGGAAAAGCTGAGCGAGTGAAAGCACACATTTTAATGAGTTAAGGTTAATATTACAGTTGTAAAGCTATCCTGACTACCCTTACCACTGTTATGTTGATGTTTTTGTCAATGTCACAGTGCAAGAGCTGAATATGTACAGAACTGATTTGTTCACAGGCATGAGTTTCCACAGAAATCTTAATGATTTAAAGAAATACTAATGGATTTTCATAAAGTTTTGAATTTTGATCATATAATGCAGTTTGGATGTATTTTGTACAAATGGGCAGTATATTTTCTCCTTTATATTATACTGTAGTGTTTAGCCAAGGTACATTATGACAATATTTTGAGTTCTATTTTCCAAAATAGTTTTCATGCTGTATTTGAGATAATGCTTCTGTAACTGCAGCCCTTTCTACTGCTCATTTTACCTGAAATGGTTGTGTCAAATAAACTGCAGATTGAAGGTGACCTGCAGTTAGAAAACGGGGATTGGATTATTAAATTAAATAATGTTTTTCCAATTTATTTTTAAAAGAGATGTTTTTCTCATGCATCTGGCCAACAATCCTTTGGGATCATGACTTTGGTAATACATTCTGCAATTTCAATTGTAATTAGCACATCAACTTCCAGTTGATGATTGAGTTAGGGAAAAGTAATATGATGGTACCAAATGTATTTGGGAAGAGCACCAACTACTGTGAAAACGATGATTGTATGGGATATGGCAATCTGATGTTCGCCATTCCCTTGCGATGTCTATAATGTCATTCTAATGATTGAGATGTGTGTTGGTTCAATCCCAACTGACCTTTCTTTTCGACCGCGCCTTTGGTCGCCTTCCCCCCCATCCCCCTGTCTCGGTCCCGGGATCCGAAACTGTAAAGCGCTCTAAGACGCCGTCCAACGTGGAGGGTGCTACATAAATCCAAGTTGTTGTTGTTGATGAATGTCTAGTAAATAAAGTGCAGTGCAAGGAGCTAGACATTAATTCAGCTCAGGCTGCATTAATTCTGCTTGTGACCACTGTTGTTCACAACTTCCATTAACGATTTGGACTCGGAGATTGAAAGTACAATTTCAAAATTTGCCACCAAATTGGGGGGGGGAATGTAGTTAATACTAAGGAGGACTGCAATAAATTACAAGACATTAATAAACTTGCTGAATGGGCAATTAGTTGGCAAATTAATTTCAATATAGATAAATGTGAGGTGGTACATTTTGGTAGGAGGAATGAGGAGGTCACATACTACCTGGAAAATAAGAATATAAATGGGGTAGAGCAGAACATAAGAATTAGGAGCAGGAGTAGGCCATTCGGCCCCTCGAGCCTGCCCCGCCATTCGATAAGATCATGGCTGATCTTCTGACCTAACTCTAATTATCTGCCCTATCCCCATATCCCCTAATCCCTCTATTTTTTAAAAATCTATCAGTCTCAGCCTTGAAGATGTTCAAGGACTGAGCATCTACAGCCTTCTGGGGGAGTGAATTCCATAAATTCACTATCCTCTGAGTGAAGAAATGTTTCCTCAACTCTGTTCTGAAAGGCTGACCCTTCGTTTTAAGACTGTGACCCCTGGTTATAGATTCTCTTACCAGGAGAAACAGACCCTCAGTGTCTACTTTATCCAGCCCTTTAAGAATAGTATATGTTTCAATAAGTTCTCCCCTAATTCTTCTGTACTCTAGTGAATATAGCCCTAGTTTATTCAGCCTATCCTCATAGGTCAGTCCCCTCATCCCAGGAACTAACCTAGTGAATCTACGCTGCACCCCCTCTAGGGTAAGTATGTCCTTTTTTAAATAAGGAGACCAAAACTGCACACAATACTCTAGATGCGGTCTCACCAAAGCCCTATACAGTTGCAGCAAGACTTCCCTACTCTTGTACTCTAAACCTCTTGCAATGAACGCTAACTTACCGTTCGCCTTCTTAGTTGCTTGCTGCACCTGCAAACTAACTTTTTGAGACTGGTGTACAAGGACACCCAAATCCTTCTGAACACTAACACATCTAATCTCTCCCCCTCTAGAAAATAATCTGTTTTTCTATTTTTTCTATCAAGGTGAATAACTTCACACTTCCCCATATTAAATTCCATCTGCCACCTACTTGCCCATTCCCCAGGCCTATCTATATCCCGTTGCAATCTTTTTGCATCATCCTCAGAGCTTACTCTCCCACCTAGTTTAGTGTCATCCGTGAGCAAAGGGATCCAGAGGTACAGATACACAAATTGCTAAAAGTAGCGATGCAGATTAATAAGGCTATAAAAAAAATCAAACCAAGTGTTGGGGTTCATTTCTAGAGGGATAGAAATGAAAAGCAGGGAAGTTATTCTAAACTTATTTCATACCGTGGTTAGACCCCACTTGGGGTATCGTGTACAGTTCTGGTCCCCATATTTATAGAAAGGATATAGAAGGACTGGAGAAGGCACAAAGGAGATTTACAAGGATGATACCGGAACTGCAAGGTTAAACCTATCAGGAAACCTGAACAAGCTTGGACTCTTCTCTTGAAAAGAGAAGGGTGAGGAGTGACCCAATAGAGGTCTTTAA